TTTTTTTTCTTTGTTTGTTTTTTAAGAGACAGTCTCTAAACTTTGTCGCCCTGGTATTACAGCTCACAGCAACCTCCAACTCCTGGGCTTAAGTGATTCTCTTGCCTCAGCCTCCCAAGTAGCTGAGACTACAGATGCCCGCCACGATGCCCAGCTATTTTTTTTGTTGCAGTTTGGCCAGGGTCAGGTTTGAACTTGCCACCCTTGGTATATGGGGCTGGCCCCCTACTCACTGAGCTACAGGTGCGGCCCTGTAGTTGTCACTGTTGTTTGGCAGGCCTGGGCCTGGTTTGAACCCACCGGCCCCCATATATGTGGCTAGTGCCCAAGCGGCTTGAGCTACAGGCACGGAGCTACATCAGGATATTTTTTTAAAAGTACCGAAAATGACAGTACTCAATTTAGAGATATTATCTACACAGTCAGAATTGAAGTAAATAATTTTTTTTTTTTTTTTGGTAGAGACAGAGTCTCACTTTATCACCCTTGGTAGAGTGCCATGGCATCACACTGCTCACAGCAACATCCAATTCCTGGGCTTAAGCGATTCTCTGGCCTCAGCCTCCCGAGTAGCTGGGACTACAGGCACCCGCCACAATGTCCGACTAATTTTTGGTTGCAGTTCAGTGGGGGGCCGGGTTTGAACGCGCCACCCTCCGTACATGGGGCCGGCGCCTTACTCACTGAGCCATAGGCGCCGCCTAATTTTTCTACTTGAAATTATATTTTAACTAGAAGAGGTCTCAGTTATAATCCAGTTAATCTTGTCATTATTACACAGAAAATAAAGCTGAGGCTAAGAGGTTAGCTCAACCTACGTTGAGAAGGCCAATTAGCAACTATTAACTAAGAAGAACACTTAGAACGCAAGTGTTCTGGTCTCCACTCCATAGCACTCTCCAGTTGCCTACATGATCAATGTTAAGAACTAATGAGGAAACAGACTCTTCCTAAATACCTCTACATTTTCTTTGCTAAGCTGAGATAAAGGTAAAACCATTTGCTTATCTGCCGCCGGACAAGGTACATGTGTAAACCAAAAAAGTAACAAAGGTAATTTATATTCATTCTGATTTTGCAGATAAATTCTAACACTAAGGATTTTCTTTACACCAAAGCTCTAAAGCCCAACTTATTATTTACTTCTCTCTTTAAATTAAGATGGTAAACTGATACTCAGAATGAACAGAAAGATAGTTGCAATTCAGGGAGTTTGGGATTCAATTAGTTATCAGTATATAAAAAATTAAGCAAGTGAACAAGGGAAAACAAAAAGTTATTTTTCTTGTACAAGAAGTTGTACAAGAGGAAAAGCAAGGATAGCCCAGACATGAATAGTGTTTAAACTACCCAAGGATGAGAAATGAGGACACACTGGCTCAGCGCCTGTAGCTCAACCAGCTAAGGCGCCAGCCACATATACCTAAGGTGGCCGGTTCGAATCCAGCCTGGACCTGCCAAACAACAATGACGGCTGCAACCAAAAAAAATAGCCAGGCGTTGTGGCGGGCACCTGTGGTCCCAGCTACTTGGGAGGCTGAGGCAGGAGACTCACTTGAGCCCAGGAGTTGGAGGTAGCTGTGAGCTGAGATGCCATGGTACTCTACCCAGGGCGACAGCTTGAGGCTCTGTCTCAAAAAAAAAAAAAAAAAAAAGAAATGAGGACACAGAAATAAGGGTTATACGAGTGGTAGTGGGGGAAGTGAGATCAACTAAATCCTAATCTTCTAAAGTAGGCTGCTTCTTCATGCTAAGCCTCTTTAACTCTGTTAAAAATGAACACTAAAAAGAAAAAGAAAACTAAATTTAAAAAAATCATAAATTCCTAGAAGACATTCTACTATTTTGGAGGTACACACTAAAGATACTTGCTTTCCTATGCCTGAAAATGTGTAAAATTTACTAATTTGTTTAAAATATTCGATTTTTTTTCTGCTTATAATTTTTTTTTGCTTTTTAAAATTTTTTATTTTGAAATAATTATAGTTACAACATGTTGCAAAAATAGTATGGAGAAGGCCAGGTGTGTGGTAGCTCACTCCTGTAATCCTAGCCCTTTGGGAGGCTGAGATGGGTGGATTGCTTGAGCTCAGGCATATGAGACCAGCCTGAGCAAGAGCGAGACCCCATCTCTAAAAATAACTAGGCGTTGTGGTGGGCACCTGTAGTCCCAGCTACTTGGGAGGCTGATACCAGAGAATCCCTTGAGCCTAGGAGTTTGAGGCTGCACAGCACTCTACCTAAGGCAACAAAGTAAAACTTTGTCTCAAAAAAATAAATAAATAAAAAATAGTTTGGAGAGATCCAGTGTATCTTCATCCAGTTTGCCTAAACAGTTACATTTTACATAACCATGGCATACTTTCAAAATCAGGAAATCAATACTGATACAATACGCATCATTCTATGACATTTTATCACATGCAAGTTAGTGTAACCACCACGAAAATCAAGTTACAGAACTGTTCCATTAAAACAAAGATCTTGCGCTACTCGTTTAGAGCCACACTTAACTTCCTTCCTCTATCCCGAGTCCCTAGCAACCACTTATCTGTTTTCCATCTCTATAATTTTGTGTTGTCACATAAATAGAATCATACAATACATTTCCTTTCAAATGGACTTTTTTCACATAGCATAATGCCCTTAAGATCCATTCAGGTTTTCCAAGTATTAGTAATTCATTCTTTCTCATTACTGAGTAGTGTTCCATGTTTAGCCACTCACTTATTGGGACAAACTTTGATTGTTTGCAGTTTGTGGCTATTACAAATAAACCTATATTTTATTCTCAACCTGTCTGTATTGTCTGAAATAACTTCTCATAAATAACACAGTATGTCATTTCTTAATCTATTCTGTAAATCTACCTTTTAATAGGTGAATTTAGGCCATTTATGTTTAAATGTTTATTTCATTTCTTATTTCTTTCATCTGAGAATACAAAGGAGCAAGACAACAGGCACAGATGAGCCCTCTCAGAGGCTTGGCGTCCACTGAGAAGGGTAGATGAGGCGATTTCAACCTCCCCCACATCTCTGGAAGTCAGTGAGCTCCGCACTGGAGAGAGCGCTTCTCCTCTCACTGTTGCTGACAATGAACACAGAACTTCTTAAGGACAAAGCACCAGGCTGCCAGCTCCCTTGGTATCACTTCCCCTCACTGCTGACCTGACTCAAGACAGCAGGGACCATACTGCTTCTCCGTGCACCTTTTTCTTCCCCAGAGGGTTTCACCCCAGAAGTTTTCCTCTCACTCATTCCTACACCAACATTTCTCAACCCCAGCCCAAAGTACGGGAACCCCAGAATTTATAACTGTCTTTGTTCACTTGCCTAATTTTCTATATACTGATAAGTAATTGAATCCCTGCCTTCTGGAGAGAGGGACACAGACAACCAGACTGCTAGCTCTCTTCCGTTCACCCTTTACTTCCCTTCCCCTGTGCAGCCAGGGGCTGCTGAGAGACAATTGGGCCAAGGTTCCTAAGAGCTGCTTTTCCCCAGTTGGTGCATCCACTACACTAGAGCTTCCACCAAAGCAGGGCTCAGACCTGTCCTCTAGGGATCCTGCAGCAGACTGAGGGGTGCTCAGGTCTGTGGGTTCCCTGTCCACCGGCCCTTCCAGGTGCTGCCTGCCTGGCGAATCCCCCAGAGTAGGGGGCACTCTGAGCCAGAGGGACATGGAAATTGCTTAGGCACCCCCAGCACTCTTCTCCCTGGCAGGTCAGAGATTGATCTTCTGGATCTAGGGACAGGCCTGCAGGCCAGATCCTGCACCCCCCAAGTCTCAACCACATTACTATGGGACAAAGAGGGGAGATTTGTGAATTAGTCTCAGTAGGCCAGGCTGCCTCCTGAACAGA